AAGGCCCACTTGACTTCACATTCCAGGATGTCTGGCTCTAGGTGAGTGATCACACCATCGTGATTATCTGGGTCATGAAGATCTTTTTTTGTATAGTTCTTCTGTGTATTCTTGCCACCTCTTCTTAATATCTTCTGCTTCTGTTAGAGCAATACCATTTCTGTCCTTTATTGTGCCCATCTTTGCATGCACTGTTCCCTTGGTATCTTTAATTTTCTTGAAGAGATCTCTAGTCTCTCCCATTCTATTATTTTCCTCTATTTCTTTGCATTGATAGCTGAGGAAGGCTTTCTTATCTTTCCTTGCTATTCTTTGGAACTCTGCATTCAAATGGGTATATCTTTCCTTTTCTTCTTTGCTTTTCGCTTCTCTTCTTTTCACAGCTATTTGGAAGGCCTCCTCGGACAGCCATTTTGCTTTTTTGCATTTCTTTTTCTTGGGGATGGTCTTCATCCCTGTCTCCTGTACAATGTCACGAACCTCCATCCATAGTTCATCAGGCACTCTGTCTATCAGATCTAGTCTCTTAAATCTATTTCTCACTTCCACTGTATTTCATAAGGGATTTGATGTAGGTGATACCTGAATGGTCTAGTGGTTTTCCCTACTTTCTTCAACTTAAGTTTGAATTTGGCAATAAGGAGTTCATGATCTGAGCCACAGTCAGCTTCTGGTCTTATTTTTGCTGACTGTATAGAGCTTCTCCATCTTTGACTGCAAAGAATATAATCAGTCTAATTTTTGTGTTGACCATCTGGTGATGTCCATGTGTAGAGTCTTCTCTTGTGTTGTTGGAAGAGGGTGTTTGCTGTGACCAGTGTGTTCTCTTGGCAAAACTCTATTAGCCTTTGCCCTGCTTCATTCTGTACTCCAAGGCCAAATTTGCCTGTTATTCCAGGTGTTTCTTGACTTCCTACATTTGCATTCCAGTCCTCTATAATGAACAGGACATCTTTTTTGGGTGTTAGTTCTAAAAGGTCTTGTAGGTCTTCATAGAACCATTCAACTTCAGCTTCTTCAGCGTTACTGGTTGAGGCATAGGCTTGGATTACAGTGATATTGAATGGTTTGCCTTGGAAATGAACAGAGATCATTCTGTCGTTTCTGGGATTGCATCCAAGTACTGCATTTCTTTTGTTGACTCTGATGGCTACTCCATTTCTTATAAGGGATTCCTTCCCACAGTAGTAGATATAATGGTCATCTGAGTTAAATTCACCCATTCCAGTCCATTTTAGTTTGCTGATTCCTAGAATGTCAATGTTTTCCTTGCCATCTCCTGTTTGACAATTTCCAATTTGCCTTGATTCACGGACCTAACATTCCAGGTTCCTATGCAATACTGCTCTTTATAGCATCGGACCTTGCTTCTATTACCCATCACATTTCACTGTCTATGTTCATGCAAGTGTGCAGTGAAATTAGTATTATTATTCACTGCTGATGAAAACATAGGTACAAAAACTTGTATGAAAATGTTCATCTCAGTACTGCTCATATAACATAGGAACAATCCAAATGTTCATCAATTTTGAATGGATAAACAAAATGTGCTACACCCATACAATGAAATATTATTCCACCATTTAAAGGAACAAAGTGCTGACAGATGTTACAACTTGGATGTACCCTGAAAACAGTATACTATTAAAAAAAAAAAAAGACTTATGCTATGTGAAAGAAGACATATACAAAGGCCATATATTGTATGATTCTACTCATATAAAATGTCTAGAATAAGCAAATCTATTGAGACAGACAGGAGAAGGGGGTTAACAAAAGAAGGGGGAGACAGAGGATGAGATGTTTGGATGGCATCATCGACTCAACAGACATGAGTTTGAGCCACTCCAGGAGACAGTGAAGGAAAGAGAAGCCTGGGATGCTGGAGTCCATGGGGTTGCAAAGAGTCGGACGTGACTGAGTAACTGAACAAGAATAGCAATGAGACTGAAAGAGATTAAGATATACCAGGGGCTAGAGGGGAAGTGCCCAATGAGGAGTGACTGCTAATGGGTATGGGGTTTCTTTTGGGGGTGATGAAAATGTTATAGAATTAGATAGAGGTGATAGTTGAACAAAATTTTGAATAAACTAAAAGCTGCTACTAAACTGCATAATTTTAAATGGCTAATTTTATGATATGTGAATTATATCTCAATCTAAAGTTTTCCAGGCAGGGAGAGAATAAGTCCACTGCTGCCATTATATTACAGGGCCACATGGTGTCACTAGAAGAGTCCAAAGGAGGCTGTACAAAGCTCAATGATGCTCTGCTGGTTCAGATTGTGCCAGGCTAGATTTTAATCAACAGGGTGCCCCAGGAATGAAGTATAAGGTTAAAATTCAGACTGTGTTCCAGAATACAGACAACACAATTCCAGAATAGCTTAATACTGAAGAGTTTCTATCCTTAGCCCCACACATGCTCTCCTTCACAGACTGAAGTTCTTGGCTAAACTTGGTTCCCATTTTAACAGAGAAAGAAATTCATACTCCTTTAGAAAGCACCTCTTTAAAAGGAAATACATCTGAGCACACCCTGAACTTTCAAAATCTTTGTTTGATCTACAATTCTGTGCCAGCTTCAGGTGCACAGCAGAGTGAACCAGCTGCATATACACATGTGCCCACCCTCCCTTAGATTTCCCTCCCACACAAGCCACCATGGAACGCTGAGTAGGTGCCACACAGTAGGTCCCTGTCAGTTGGTCCTCATTCCATACATAGCAGTGTTGAATATGTCAATCCCAATTCTCCAATTAAAAATGTAAAAAAACTAATTTATGGATATACAGGGAAATGTTGAGTAATTTTATTGTCCTGAGGTAGGGGATTTTTCAGTAAGTTATGGATTTTATGCATTTTACATCAATTCTTTCTAAAATATGTATACTATTTAATTTAGTACTTCCAATCAAAATATTAAATATATACACACATATATATGAAGATGATTATCATGATTTTTTTTAAGGCTCTGTGAAGTCACTTAATCCTATTTTATAAATTTTTACTTTACATTGGAACACAGTTGATTAACAATGATGTTATTGACAGTAGCAAAAAAATCAGAAATATCTGATGAAAATTGAATACATACTTGCTGAAAATCTTATATATGTTAAAAATGGTATATATGAATGCCATTTAATAAAATGAAAATTCTTATGCTATAATGCAAACTGATTTTTAAAAGTACATGTCTGTATGTGTGTATAGAGCATATACACAAATTCATAAAATTGGAAATAATGCACACACTAAGTTAGGGTTATATGTCATTTGGTATTGAAATAATTTTCCTTTAATCTTTTCATCCCACATTCTATGTCTTCAATATATATGCCAATATTTCTCTCAATTCCCAGAGTAGATATTCTTATGGTCACTTTTTTCACTTATATTTTAAAATACATACAAGAATATTTATAATGTATGTGTATGAAGTGTATCCGTTGGGTTTCCATCAGGAATTGGAATTCTACGCAGTTAGTTTGACTAAAGAGATTTTAGATGGTAATTAGAAGGCAATTAAAGGGAGTAGGATTAAGAGAACCATCCAGTTGAGGCATCTCAATTACCAATTTGAGGTGAAGAACCATCAAGTTGAGAGTAATAGCAATGGCAAGAAACCCCTATCATCTCTAGGCCGAAAAGTAAGGAGAGAGAGTATTCCAGAGCTCTGTGACCTAAAGCTACAGAGGAGGGCCTGCTGATCAAGAGCTGCAGTAGTGAAAAGACACTATCACTGCCAGATCCTAAAACAGAGAAAGAATGGACAAAATGTACCCTATCTCTCTTTCCTCCTGCCTCCTCTCTCCTGTGGATGCTTCATAGTCCAAAACCAAATATAAGTCAGCTGAGAAGAGCCCAGGTGATGTTTTCCAAAGAGGTCAGCTTCTGGGGTGTAGAATAAGGCAGGCAAGGCAGGAGAATAGGTATGAAGGGAGGCAAACAGAAGACCCAGATAGTTTACCTGATAGTTTACCAGATAGTTTTGCCACCCAGGATGGAGAGAAACTCATCCCCTAAACATGAGAATCAGAGAGTCCTATCAACTACTATGTTGCTTTGAAGTGATGTCAATACTCTGATCTAGAAACTAAATTATATGTTTGTCTCCACCAGTACTGTTCATACAAGGAAACAGAGACAGGAAGGGCATGGAATAAATAATTAACATTTTACATACAGAGTTGAACCTTCCAGGTGGCTCCGATGGTAAAGAATCTGCCTGCAATGCAGGAGACCCGGGTTTGGTCCAATAATCCCTGCCTCTATAGCTTGTTGCTAGGTTAAAAAAGATAAATTGATAATCATAATTTCCTACTTCATTCACTTCTGGTTTTCCTGCCCTATGCAGTATCTTAGTAGATTGTGATTTTTTTTTTTAACCTGGTGCGGTGATACAACACTTCAATTCCTGCATGGTCTGAAATTGAAGTGCTCCCGACGTTATCAGGTTACTGTAGTTATCTAATGATCATCATCATTGCACATGGCAGTATTAAGACGTGCCCAGTTAATCTTTGTTGTGTCATGCACATTTCTTCTTGCTCACAATGTATAGCTGTAACCCAGTTTCCTCTTGGTAACTGGGATCAGTTATTCCAGTTCCATGAGGAACCAAAATGATCAGAGGGAAGTTTCAGCTTCCAATTCAGTGGCACCATGACTGGGTCCTCTACTGGAAGCATTTCTTCCTTTTGAACTAGGACTTCAAAATATGATAAACCCAAGGTTGCAGAAATGGTATGCTGGATATTTTCATTTGTCAGAGGTCTTTGTGCCTAGCAAGCTGACCTCTATAGACTATATAAACCTGGCTCCTTCATCTTCAGGCTTTCTAGTGGATCCAGAAATCCACCAGATTTTTCCGATGAAAGATTTCAGCAGGATATCAGAACATGGAAGAACAGGGGGATGTGTCTTTCTTTTCCACTCTATCCCCATTTGGAGTTGAGGTGCTAGCAGTGACTGCAGCTATAGGATCTTACCCTGTTGGGCCAAAGGTCAGCATCTACTGCTTTCCTCTACTGAACAACATAGCTCTGTCGGGTAGCCCTCTCATACAGATACAGCTATGGCTCTCGCCTGGTTTCAGTAACTGCTCCCTTCCATTTGTCTCTTCTGTGGAGGTTCTGCAGGGCAAGGCCCTGTCCTTGTTGCCATCTTGGGGGACTTCAGAGTTAGTAACAGGTTCCCACTGTTGTTCTTTACTACTGTTAACTTCATGCTGTGTGCTAGACATGGTGCTAAGTGCCTGAATATAGAATTATCTCATTTAGTCTTCATAATCCAATAAATTAGATGGCTTTAGACCTATTGCAGAGATGATAAAAGTAAGTTTTGCAGAAGATGAAGAGTGACAGTGATGGAGTTGGAGATCAAATCAAATGTAGGTGTGCTTATGGCAGAATCTGTGCAACTCAGATGCTCTCGTTATCAGTTATTATCCTGTCTTAAAGGGCCAAAATTCCAAATGGCTTTGTTCTTGTGGTTCCCAGGTCACTCTGGCAGGAGGTTGGTGAGGTGTGCACTCACATACAGAGCCTGGGAAGGTTAGATGCTTTCTCCACTGATGTGATGGCAGCCAGGACTAAGGGCAGGAACTTTCCTCATAGACCTTCTTAAAGGCCAGAGCCTGGTGAAGTCCATGCTATTTTTCCAAATTATTTAATAATAAAGAACAGAATGCCAACAGCTCCTCAAGTATTCTCTCAATGAAGCTGGGAAAAAGATTGGCTTACTCAAGACAGAAATCAATGATGGGGGTGAGAAGAAATGAATATCTCTCAGAGCATAAGTTGAGAAAGATAGCTCTGTTAAAAAATTTTTTTTAATTTTTTTATTTTTGGTTTGGTAACTCTGGTCAAGTCTTCTCTGTTTCTTTTCACGTCCTAACCTTTCCCCTACTTTGATGGTGGGCAATTTAACAGCCAGAGGAGGCTGAGGCTCTGACGAATTAAATGAACTAGGTCGGTGTGCTGTATGGAGATTTTAGCTCTACAAGGGAGCAAGATTGCTCAGGTTCCTCATGAGTAACTGAAAAACCTCACTGAGGCCTTTAAGTGAGATTTCCATTCTGCTTCCTCTGCCCACTCCCCTCAAAATTTGAGTGGCTGGATTTTGAATTTGCCTCTTTGATCTGCCCCTCCCATGGCCTGTCGGAAAGAAAACACTAGGCCGCCTTGGTCAGGGGAGCGGGCCCTTTAAGGAAACCAAGAGCTGCGCTGTTTGGCTGCCGCGGCCAGCCAGTCCGGACGTATTGAGGGGCGAGGCCCGGTCCTTGTTGCCGTTTCGGGGAGCTTCAGGCCTGGAGGCCTTCGCTGTGATCAGTGTCCCGCGCACCTCCACTGTCCAGTGAGTGAGCGCCGGCTGGGCGGGCCAGGCCGGCCGCAGGCTGTTGGGGGTAGGGCGTGTCCTCGCGGCAGCGTCAGCCGGCGCCGAGCTGCGGGTCTCCGGGCTTGCTGGGCCGCTCTGGGTGCTCTTTCCTTGTGAGCGCCCTTGGCTCTCCCGCTTCTAGTGCCAACCAGTATCGCCAACCTTGTTTCGGAGGAGATGGTTCTCCTCTCAAAGACTCCTGGCCGCTCCCATATCGTAATTAAATTGGGGGAAGTGGGTAAAGCGTTGTCAATGGAAATCAGCATAACCTGGCAGAAATTCCCAGCTACTATAATTCGGTCCAAGGTGAGCGGGCGGAGTTATAAATTAGGGAAAAATCTCCCCGAAGCTGTAAATTCCAGTCTGGAATTTGCAGGGGAAATGGGCTAGTTTGACTGGAACTCAGACCTAGAATTTGTAGGGGAAGTGACCTAATTTGAATGGAACCCAAAGACGTATTGAAATGATTGTAATCATGCAACCAGTCATATATGTAGGTAGTTGATGTGTCATTCGATCAGGAAATGAGTCACTGCAGAAACCTGGATAACAGAAGTTATAGGTCATGGAATTATTATTTTTTTTTTTTAAGTAAAATCAAATACCAGTTCTTAGATGTGACCTGACTTCCTCCTCAGAAATACTCCTATCTGTTGTAATGTGTAGCACAGCTGAGGCAAGGCTGGCACAAAGAGCCCTTTCTAAGATCTCAGGAGTAAATGAGGGGAAAATGAAGGCAGGGACCCAAATCAGGATTCTTAGCCTTCTGAAACACCCTGGTGTCAAAATTGTAAATAGCAAGGTATTTGTCACCAATGACAAAGTGTTGGCATTTTGTAAAGACTTGCCTTCTACAATTGAATGAATTCAAAGTTATGCCTGTTGCAAGGTCACTCTTAATTATTTTCTGATACAATGAGTGAGTGAGTCAAAGTCACTCAGTAGTGTCCAACTCTCTGCGACTTCATGAACTATACAGTCCGTGGAATTCTCCAGGCCAGAATACTGGAGTGGGTAGCCTTTCCCTTCTCCAGGGGATCTTCCAAACCCAGGGATCAAACCCAGGTCTCCCACATTGCAGGGAGATTCTTTACCACAGCTGAGCCACAAGGGAAGCCCTCTGATAATAAGTCCCCTACATATGAACCTTCAAATTGGCAACTTTCAAAGATGTGAATGGTATGCTTGCATCTTGAGTCATGTAAGTTAGTTCATGTATCTGGCATACATTGTCACGTGCATACATCTTCTACAAGTAGTTGTGCTTTTGTGTACAGTACTTTATAGAGTACAGGAGTAGAGTATCTTCTTTTCAAACCCCAGATGTCCGGAAGCAAGCATAAAAGAAGCAGTACTATAGCTAGCTGGTACTGTTACCAGGCCCTGTATGTCAGCTGCTGTACTGTACTACTATCCTTTTCAAGGTACTGTACTATAAGATTTAAAATGGTTTATTTTTGGTTTGTTTTTTATGTATTTTATTTAAACCTAGAATCACTTCAGTTCAGTTGCTCTGTCGTGTCCAACTCTTTGCGACTCCATGGACGGCAGCACGCCAGGCTTCCCTGTCCATCGCCAACTCCCGGAGCTTACTCAAACTCATGTCCATTGAGTCGGTGATGTCATCCAACCATCTCATCCTCTGTTGTCCCCTTCTCCTCCCACCTTCAATCTTTCCCAGCATCAGGGTCTTTTCAAGTGAGTCACTTCTCATCAGGTGGTCAAAGTATTGCAGTTTCAGCTTCAGCATCAGTCTTTCCAATGAATATTCAGGGCTGGTTTCCTTTAGGATGGACTGGTTGGATCTCCTTGCAGTCCAAGAGACTCTCAAGAGTCTTCTCCAACACCACACTTCAAAAGCATCAATTCTTCAGTGCTCAGCTTTCTTTATAGTCCAACTCTCACATCCATACATGACTACTGGAAAAACCATAGCTTTGACTAGATGGACCTTTGTTGGCAAAGTAATGTCTCTGCTTTTTAATATGCTGTCTAGGTTGGTCATAGCTTTTCTTCCAAGGAGCAAGTGTCTTTTAATTTCATGGCTGCAGTCACCATCTGCAGTTATTTTGGAGCCCCAAAAAATAAAATCTCTCACTGTTTTCATTGTTTCCCCATCTATTTGCCATGAAGGGATAGAACCGGATGCCATGTTCTTAGTTTTCTGAATGTTGAGTTTTAAGCCAACTTTTTCACTCTTTCACTTTCATCAATAAGCTCTTTAGTTCTTCTTTGCTTTCTGCCATAAGAGTGATGTCATCTGCATATCTGAAGTTATTGATATTTCTCCCAGCAATCTTGATTCTAGCTTGTGCTTCATCCAGCCCGGATATAGATTCGCATGATGTACTCTGCATATAAGTTAAATATGCAGGGTGACAATATACAGCCTTGACGTACTCCTTTCCCGATTTGGAACCAGTCTGTTGTTCCATGTCCAGTTCTAACTGTTGATTCTTGACCTGCATACAGATTGCTCTGGAGGCAGGTCAGGTGCTCTGGTATTCCCATCTCTTGAAGAATTTTCCAGAGTCTGTTGTGATCCACAGAGTCAAAGGCTTTGGAATAGTCAATAAGGAAGAAATAGATGTTTTTCTGGAATTCTCTTGCCTTTTTGATGACCCAATGGATGTTGGCACTTTCATCCCTGGTTCCTCTGCCTTTTCTAAATCTGTTTGAACATATGGAAGTTCATGGTTCATGTACTATTGAAGCCTGGCATGGAGAATTTTGAGCATTACTTTGCTAGCATGTGAGATGAGTGCAATTGTGTGGTAGTTTGAACATTCTTTGGCATTGCCTTTCTTTGGGATTGGAATAAAAACTGACCTTTTCCAGTCCTGTGGCCACTGCTGAGTTTTCCAAATTTGCTGGCATATTGAGTGTAGCACTTTCACAGCATCATCTTTTAGGATTTGAAAGAGCTCAACTGGAATTCCATCACCTCCACTAGCTTTGTTCATAGTGATGCTTCCTAAGGACCACTTGACTTCACATTCCAAGATGTCTGGCTCTAGGTGAGTGATCACACCATCATGGTTATCTGCGTCATGAAGATCTTTTTTGTATAGTTCTTCTGTGTATTGTTGCCACCCCTTCTTAACACCTTCTGCTTCTGTTCCATACCATTTCTGTCCTTTATTGTGCCCATCTTTGCATGAAATATTCCCTTGGTATCTCTAATTTTCTTGAAGAGATCTCTAGTCTTTCCCATTCTATTATTTTCCTCTATTTCTTTGCATTAATCGCTGAGGAAGTCTTTCTTATCTCTCCTTGCTATTTGGAACTCTGCACTCAGATAGGTATATCTTTCCTTTTCTCCTTTGCCTTTTGCTTCTCTTCTTTCCTCAGCTATTTGTAAGACCTCCTCAGACAACCATTTTGCCTTTTTGCATTTCTCTTTCTTGAGGATGGTCTTGATCACTGCCTCCTGTACAATGTCACAAACCTCCGTCCACAGTTCTTCAGGCACTCTATCAGGTCTAATCCCTTGAATCTATTTATCACTTCCACTGTATAATCTTAAGGGATTTGATTTTGGTCATACTTCAGTGGTCTAGTGGTTTTCCCTACTTTCTTCAATTTAAGTCTGAATTTGGCAACAAGAAGTTCATGATCTGAGCCACAGTCAGTTCCCAGTCTTGTTTCTGCTGACTGTATAGAGCTTCTCCATCTCTGGCTGCAAAGAATATAATCAGTCTGATTTCGGTATTGACCATCTGGTGATGTCCATGTGTAGAGTCTTCTCCTGTGTTGTTGGAAGAGGGTGTTTGCTATGACCAGTGTGTTCTCTTAGCAAAACTCTGTTAGCCTTTGACCTGCTTCATTTTGTATTCCAAGGTCAAATTTGCCTGTTACTAGGTATCTCTTGACTTCCTACTTTTGCATTCCAGTCCCCTACAATGAAAAGGACATCTTTTTTGGACGTTAATTCTAGAAGGTCTTGTAGGTCTTGATAGAACCATTCAACTTCAGCTTCTTCAGCATTACTGGTTGGGGCATAGGCTTGGATTACTGTGATACTGAATGGTTTGTCTTGGAAACAAACAGAGATTATTCTGTCGTTTTTGAGATTGCATCCAAGTACTGCATTTCAGACTCTCTTGTTTACTATGATGGCTACTCCATTTCTTCTAAGGGATTCTTGCCCACAGTAGTAGATATAATGGTCATCTGAGTTAAATTCATCCATTCCAGTCCATTTTAGTTCACTGATTCCTAAAATGTTGATGTTCACTCTTGCCATCTCCTGTTTGATCACTTCCAATTTGCCTTGATTCACGGACCTAACATTCCAGGTTCCTATGCAATATTGCTCTTTACACCATCGGACTTACTTGCATCACCAGTCACATCCACAACTGGGTGTTATTTTTGCTTTGGCTCCGTCTCTTCATTCTTTCTGGAATTATTTCTCCACTGATCTCCCATAGCATATTGGGTACCTACTGACCTGGGGAGTTCATCTTTCAGTGTCCTATCTTTTTGGCTTTTCATGCTATTCGTGGGGTTCTCAAGGCAAGAATACTGAAGTGGTTTGCCATTCCCTTTTCCAGTGGACCACCTTTGTCAGAATTCTCCACCATGACCCGTCCATCTTGGGTGGCCCTACACAGCCTGGCTCATAGTTTCATTGAGTTAGACAAGGCTGTGTCCATGAGATCATCATATCAGTTCATGTGTACCTAGTATAGTACAGTACTATATACCTGATCATGTTAGTTGGATACCTAGGCTAACTCTGTTGGACTTACAAACAAATTGGACTTACAAACGTGCTCTTGGAATGGAATATGTTTGTATGTAGGGGACATACTGTATATATTTTGTGAGTTGGAGAATGAAAGCTGAGAGTATTCTGGACACCTTAAAGAACCTGCTAGACTTTGGAAAATGGCTTTGTTAGAGTCGGAAAAGAGGGGAAGGTTGAGAATACTGAACTCCAGGGCACAAGTTCACAAGGTGTGGTGTACTCATTTTCAGGTGTGGTCTCCTTTGGGAACTGCAGGGAAGCTATTCTTCCTGCTTAGTTTTTACCTGTAACCTGTGGGAATATCCCCTGATATAGCCAAACTACAATCCAGACCAAAGAAGGCAAGGCCAAGAAAGAGGTAAGCCGAAGTCCTAACTTTCCAGATAGTTTCTCTTCCCTAGATGACTTACGTGAGGACTGTAACTCCACTTCAGAGGAGAGTCCACCCCCTTATAAATAGAAGCACTCTATGGGACCCAATTCTGACATACAGGGTGTGTGTGTGGGTGTGTATGTGTCTGTGTGTAAATGGGATTAGAGGACAGCTATTTTCTTTATAAATGTTTGCTGCATATGTAAAAATTCAATTATCTACTCCTACATGCAAAAGAAAAACAAGAAATGACAACTGTTTGAGTTACACTTTCTCTTTTATCATGCTTTCTGCAACATTTGTGGGAAAGAGACACTTGGGGACTGCCAGAATGGGTAATATATTGCTTCTGCCTTCAGGCAAGTTCTGCTCTGCTGCTGGAGACAATGGACATGGGGCTATGAAAGTGTGGAGACAGGAGAGAACTTCTGCTAGATCTCTCCACCTTACTGGGTGGCTGTGCCTCTGGTCACAGGATGGAGTAGGACAGCAGCTGAGGGATGGGGTGGGTAGGGAAATCTCATGACTTCCCAGGCCTGTTCAGGATTGTGCCTCTCCTCATCTGGCTCAGCTTCTTGTGCCTAACATTGAAACTGACTCTGGCTTGGAGCCTTCTATAATCCATGGTGTGTCTCTGGCCAAAATACAGGGAAGCCACTGATGTCTGGTGTGTAATATCCACTCACTTGGAGCCCCGTTAGCAGGGATAACCCATTATGTCTGGCATGAAATGCCCTCCCTCTTCCTTTATCTTCTCACCAGTTAAGCTAGAACCCACGATTTTTTTTTTTTTTTTTTTTGCTGAGGATATGGAAAATAGGAGCTCTGCCCAGGGTTCCCACAGAATATTGTGAATCCTGGGTAGAAAGCATTAAGAATGACCACTCTGAGCTGAGCCTCACAAAGTGCTCAATGGCTTACCAAAGAGAATCAGCAACATTGTTGAGGAGGGTAGAGGAGTCATGACTTTCCTGAGCTTTGTAGTATTCTGAAGGCAGAATCAACAACTAACTGAGGTCTTCTGTACCTACCCAATTGACTTTAGAACAAAATACTGAGTTCTGGATCATCTAGAATTGCCAGCCCACTTAAGAACTTCTTAAGTAAGATAAATAGGATAAATGATACCAAGTATTCATTCAAAATTTCTGTTTCCCAAGACATTTAAGTATCCCTCGGTTTTCCCCATTTTGAGAACTTTAATAGTAGCTTAATAAGAAAAAAATGAGGCTAGAGGACAATGGCCAATGGATGTTAGCAATGGGTGGATGGAAATAGAAACTGGGTAAGAGAGGGGAAAGGATTGTAGGAAGAGTATTGATATAGTAACCTTGATACACTTAAAGCATAAATGCGAAGACCACAGAGAAATCAGTGTTCAAGGTGTGCAATGCACCTTCTAAGTCACCCCTCATCAGAAGCAAAAGTTCTGTCATCCAGCTATACAGAAGATAAGAGATACAGACAGTGTTCACCCAGAGAACGCAGACAGTGTTCATCCAGAGAACGCAGACGGTGTTCACCCAGAGAATGCAGACAGTGTTCACCATGCCCCTCATAAAAAATGAGAGATTTCGTTTGCTTTTGTGTGTTTAGTTCTTCTAGATATACAGTGGGAAGAAAAATCAGGAAATATGAACCTATAGAACAGGAAAAGATTTTGGAAATCACCTAGTTCAGTTAGCTGTTCTTACGTAAGTAAACGGTGGCCAGGGGCATTATCCTGTCACTCTAAGGCATTGCTGTACACTCTAAGCAGTTATCTTTTCCTGCTTTATGAAAATTAAAAGCATGAAAAGACTGCTGGTTAAGTCTGTCCAATATCAGACAGCTAGTTAGGAGCAAAGACTAGAATCCATCATGTGTTCCAGGTCAGAAAATTTTCTTTTTTTTTAAATTTTGTCTTAAGCTCATGGTAGCCTGAAACATAGAGTATGTGAAGATGCATGTAGAATACATTGCTTTAAACTTTGCTTTTTTATATTTTAGGTCAAGATGGGGTTTATATTTTCAAAGTCTATGAATGAGAACATGAAAAGCCAACAGGAGTTCATGCTTATGAATTCCCGACTTCAGGTACATTAAAAAAAAAAAGTTTATGTTGTTACAGTGGTTAAAGTTTCTGTCACATGTGTTTCAGGGCTATGTTCTCCTTAACCTCCCCAAAGGTAAAATACTGTCGGTGCTCTACCCTCAAAGACAAGATGAAATGGACTACTAATTATCTGGTGAATGGACTTGTTTAAATCTTTAATCTAGATACCTAATGTAAAAATTTCCATAAAGAAGGAAAAGATAACTGCTTACAGAGTATATGGCAAACAGAATAATGCCCCTACTCCACCCCACCAAAAACGATGTCTGCATCCTAACCCCCTGTCAGTATGTTATGGCAAAAGGAACTTTACAGTGTGAGTAAGCTGAGGAGTTTGTAGGGGGAGATCCTGGATTATCCTGGTTTTTCTGGATGGGTCCAATGTAATCATAAAGATCCTTAAAAGAGAAAGAGTGAGGAAGGAGGATCAGAATCAGAGAGAGACAAACTTGCAGATGCTATGCTGCTGAGTTTGAAGATGGAGTAAAAAGTTCAGACAGCCTCTAGAAACTGGAAAAGGTAAGGATATAGATTCTCTCCTAGAACCTCCAAAGGGAATGCCATCCCTCCAGTCCATTCTGAACTTCTGATCTCTAGAACTGGAAGGCAATAAATTTGTGTTGTTCCTGAGTTGGGAAGATCCCCTAGAGAGGGGAATGGCTGCCCACTCCAGTATTCTGGCCTGGAGAATTCCATGGACAGAGGAGCCTGGCAGGCTACAGTCCATGGGGCTGAAAAGAGTCAGACATGACTGAGCAACTTTCACTTTCACTTTTCAAGCTACTGTTTGATAATTTTTTATAACAACAATAAATTTTAATAGAGTGTGAATATTTGACACTGAATTTATACAATGGCTGGATAAAAATATCAAAGCAAAGTAGAAAACTGTCTAGTTGCCTAATATACATTATTAAAAAGTATTTTAAAATGTATATCAGATACATGTATGTGTATGGCTGAGTTCCTTCATTGTTCACCTGGAACTACTATAGCATTGTTAATCAGCTAAACCCCAATACAAAATAAAGCATTTAAAGTTTGAAAAAAAAATGTTATATGTCAAAATCAAGTATTAAAAGTTTGACTGAAGTTATTTTCCTAAGATTTCTAAGAAAGATCTCTAGGCCACTGCAGTTCATTATAGCCCTAGGAGTAGACAGTCCTATTGTGAGACATAGAGTGACTGGTTAAAAGTGAGGACTAAAGCAAGGCAGCCTGGGTTTGAATCCTGCTTCCACCTCCAGACTCACTGTGTCTTGTGCTTCAGTCTCCTAACCTCTAAACTGGAGGTGATAATACAGCTGTTGCTGTTGTCATTATTATTATGATAAGAGTGTTTTCTACAAGATAAAGATTTCTCTGGGGAGAATGGGACTGTTGCAAAGAATGGGCAACTGAACTATTTAACAGAATAAAGTGACCGAGAGGTGACCAAACATTACGTTTATGAACCAACAGAGTATGTTACATACTCAGAGAGTCCTTGTCCAAAACCTCTGGAAATTATAGGGCTTTTTCACAGAAGTCAGGGTCTGTGAAGGTTTTAGGATTTACCCTACTTGCAAGCTAAGAGATTAGCCTATTACTATTCCATGGATGCTGGCACAACACAGGAGACACCTGTGTGTAACAGAGGCCTTTTCGTTACTCACAGCACAGTAAGAGCATAAGCATGAGGTTCATGTCAATCCCCCATGCTTCTCAAGTCTGATGGAGGTGACAAGGATGGGTTCAGACGGGTGCTTTGCCCTCAGTGGGTTGTGCCACCCTCGAGGAACACTGGGCTTGGGGAATCTACTGCTTTCCTAGTGAGTGGGGAGTTGGTGGAGTTGAGGTAGGGAGACCTTTATAACTCCTTCCTCAAGGAAAACCTCAAGAAATGGCCTGAACAAAGAGTAGTCTGGATCTTGCATTCTTGGCCTATCCAGAATGTGTAAGGACATTCAGGGCCCATGGTAGATTGCCCCTCAGTGTGACTGACCAGAGCTTTGAGAACAGCCTTGACTTCCGCCCACTATAAGCTGGCACTGAGGTCAGACTGGCAGGAGCACCGTTGGCACCATTAGTTTTCAGCTTAGCTGAGCCAAAGGTGAACCAGGCCCAGGCATTTAGGACAAACTCTGTGAATCCGAAGGGCCCATTGAGCCAGTAGCTTTGCTTCAGGTGTCAGAGTAGGGGATAAAGTTTTCCCCAAAGTAGTAGAATAGCTTCTACTACTTTATGCAAAACTGAGATGACACTAGGGCCAGGCTAGCCACATCCTCAAATTTATTATTTTCATTTGATCAGCAAATGGGTACTTTACTTGTATTTTCATGTCCTAGTTGATCCACTCAAAAATGGGGATGTCGGACCTGAGAGTCACAAATTCTCTAGGGGTTAGGTTTTTAACAGGAGCTTAGTAATAGGCCAATTAACTGCCTCCCTGGTTTTTTTTTTTTCTGAAAGTAGAGAATTGTCTTATTTGGTGAGAATGTTTAGGACTCCAAGTCTGGGAGACAGTACCTTATAGCTCTGAGAAAACTGCTCCAAGGAAGCAGGGGGGGAGTCAGGCTATATACAAGTTTGCAACAAAGGGAGCAAAAGTGCCTCCCTTTTTGAAAGGGGTATGTTATGGGTTTGGATCTCATCCCACCCCCAAATTCTTATGTTAAAATCCAAACCCCTATTACCTCAGAACGTGATCTTATTTGGAGATAAGAGTCTCTACAGAGGTAATCTAGTTAAAATGAGGTTATTAGGGTGGTGGCTCTAATCCAGTATGACAGCTATAAAATTTGGACACAAAGACATGCATACAGGGAGAATGTCATGTGACTAGGAAGAGAGTCCTTAAACAGAGCCTTCTTTCACAGCCCTCACAAGGTACCAACCCTCCAGGTTGGATGCATGAGACAAGTGCTCGGGGTTGGTGCACTGGGATGACCCAGAGGGATGGGATGGGGAGGGAGGTGCGAGGGGGGTTCAGGATGGGGAACACATGTAAATCCGTGGCTGATTCATGTCAATGTATGGCAAAAACCACTACAATATTATAAAGTAATTAGCCTCCAACTAATAAAAATAATTGGGAAAAAAATAAAATAAAATATAAAAATACAAGGTACCAACTCTGCTGACACCCTAACTTAGGACTTCTAGCCTCCAAAGCTGAGACAGTTTATTTCTGTTGCTTAAGCTGCCCAGTTTGCTGTACCTTGCCATGGCAGCCCCAGAAAACTAACACAGGATGCGTTTTGGTGCCTGTGTCCAGTGTGTGGTGCAGCTTGTATTGGGCAGTGGCTTCTGGAGATGGCTGGGATTTTCTCTTTTTGTCTCTATTGAATATATTGTTTCTATTGGCCCTCTTGGAAGGGGTCAGAGAATTCCTCAATGGGAGAATGTCCTCTCGTCACTATGAACATTTACAATAAAAGCAAATAAAACAAAGCACATTATACATTTATATTCAGGGGACACAACTGCAGCTATGTTGAATCAGTCCAGTGTACTTTAATTTCCTTTTCTCACTGCCAACTGCTCAAACCCTATCAGCTGTATTTTGCTCTATGGGAACAAAGACCAAAGATTTTAACATAGGTATTTCAGGGGTTATCATGATAGTTTCAGGAGATTAGGCTATTTCCCAGCTGGGGAAGATAGGGAATACAAATGTATTTTTTCCCTTTGGTTTCTTATCCTGGAATTGGTACTGTTTGCTCCCCTGTGCTCTCCTGGCCCTTGGAGAGCTCAGCGGCATCGTTCTTTCAGCCAACACTGGTGCCACTGCTCCGCCCTGCATCCTTCGCACTTTGGACCACCTTGGCACTTGGCACACCCTCCCTGCATGGGACCAAGTAGACATGCTGCCCATATCCAGCAGAGCCATAACCATTCAGTCCCTCCTCTGCCCTCCCTGAAGTTCCCTGGCACACTCAGCCATCTTCCCTGAAGCAGCTCAAGTTGGAGGAGAGGAGAAGGGAAAGAGCAGCTCAGAGCCAGTCAGCAAGGGTTTGACTTTACTCTCAATTTCAAAGGGCTTCCCACCACTGGACTCAACAAACAGGTATCTGATATATTTAGTCTATGCAGAGTTCTATATCCGAAAGGCTGACACCACTATTTCAGCTTTACGGAACCCCTGATCCAACAGCCGCAGCCACATTGCATGCCTTTTGGCTGGGGAGGGGGGCTTGCTGCCCCACTGATGTCATGATAACATCCTTTCCTTCTCCTACTCCAGAGGAGAATGTGCCACAACCAAAGCACCATCTGGGAATCTTGTTTAGACCCTACATTTTGTTTCTCAGGCTCACTTAACATACAAGACAATGAGAGATCTTTATTCTACCCTCCTACTCCCACCACCACTTGTGCAAAAGCATTTGCTTCCAGATCTCAGGGAGCTTTCTGATACCCTCTAACCCAACCAACAAGGGCCCTTCTCCTGTGTCTTCCAGAACACCATCTCTATCAGCATCTTATCTTTGTCCCCAAACTGGCAGGCTCCATGAAAGGTCCGGAATTTTACCCTACTTGCAAGTTAACAAGTTAGCCTGCTATTGTTTCACAGATGCTGGAAGAAACCTTAGTCCCAGCACAGCCAGCAGCATGAGCATAGTGTTGCTGCTAGTTTTCTCTGCGTTCCACGGAACCCCCATGAAGGTGGGCCTGGTTGGATGTTGAGGTGGATGCATGGGTTTGTGACACAGATGAAGAACAGTTAGCTTGTAGAATCTATCACTTTTATCATGAATGGTGAGCAAGGCTGCTCTCTGACTGGGAAGAGATGTTGCTTCATCCCTCAAAGTTGCTCACTGCAAACACAACCCTGACCAAATGGCCTGGTTGAAGAGCAGGGCCTGTATCCTTAACCTACCCAGCAAGAATGCTTAGGTCAATGGCAGGTTGATTCATCCAACACATGAGTTGGTTAGGATGATAGTTTTTCCTTGTTGACAAGGATATACTTTACTATTTTACTTTTAATTTTATGGAG